CGCATTTATCAGTGTACTAACAGAGCCTCCAAAGGAGCCCTTCTTTCATTTCATTGGTAAGAAGAGTAAGAATAAGACTGATAAGAATTTAGACAAATTAGATCTAGAGCTAGACCCAGATCTCTGTTTTGAAGAAAATATTCGAAGAGATTAAGAGTCTGGTCTGATCAGTGCCTACCTTTCAGTTAATTGATATCAGATGTAACCACTGCAATTTTGCCTCGTCTTTGTGTTTAATTACTTACATGTCACGGGTCTGCCAAACCCGATGTTTGGCGCGTTTTCTTCAGATAAACCCTTTATTTGACCGCGACAACTACCGTGTTCCCCCGTATGACCCTATCATGTTTAATATCGTTGTTCTTCCAAGTTCTTCTTCTTTCAAATCCCTAAACAATCAAGACGATCAAGATCTGTGTATTTTTGACAGTTGAGCAACCATGTGCAGAACGGAGGACTCGTCTTCCTGCAAATTTTGGATCGCCTTTGACAAAACGAATCCCCGTTTCTAAAAATAATAACATGACGTCAATACTCCGTTGCAGAAAGCCGCGCGACATGTAACCTCCAACAGTAGTTTATGATCACCGCTGTTTCTTCTTTCAATTCGACAGCCGTTTGACTCTTTTTATCCATCACTCCTTTCACTGACAGAACCATGCGATTCACTTTTGTATTTGACCAGATTTAGTTCTGTTTCTGAACCCTCTTGGTTTTTGTGTAGGCCACAAAGCAAGTACAAGTAATCCGAGTTTCTCTCTTTGAAGATAAAGGCTAATGTGTGGTTCGGTATTAGAAGTAGTTTTCACTCTCATAATCACGTTTTACATTTTAGTTCACGTTTATTCCCTGTGTTTTTCCGTACAGTTCCCATATTGTGTGTCATTATTTTGTAAGGAGTGAAGATAAAAAGAGTGAGAGAGAAAGGGAGAGAAAAGGAGATTGTGAAAAAGAGAGAGAAATAAAGAGAAGGAGATGGAGAGAGAGAGAGAGAGAGAGAGAGAGAG